GTCGCCCTTAGTTCGACAGGGCCTTCCGTCCAGATACTCTGGAGAGTCAAACCTTGTCAAAGTAGACCGTTAAGACACAAATGTGGTGGTACTTCGATCGTCGGTACTCGGACTCCGTGGCTAGGAACAGTAGATCACACTTTCCTGACTCGCCACCGCATATCGTCACGAGCGATACTAAGGCCGTTTAGATGAGATATGATGAGGGGAGTACCAAGCAGAAGTCCAGGTACCAGTCGTTGCCATTTGTTTTTGCAGACATCCTTCCATATTGGTGATTTATTGTCTCTGCGCATCTGACCAGACATGCATAAGGTGCGTAGGGCCAACTGGATAGGTGCTTGCTAAGCGGGTCGTCCGAGGGCATACGCAAACTGCCTAGAAAGTCATAATTAAATATGAAGTCAAAGGATGTCCTTTGCGCAGATTCGTGTGACTTGAAATGATGTCTCAATCATAACCTTAGATCAGATGGCCTCCTTTTTGCAGAATTGTGGCGTCATTGAGGTCCAGGGGAAGGCGTCCTTCATGGAACGATAGGTGTGCGCCGATTAATTGGCTTTCCGGAGCAAGCGAGGTCAGATGTTAAATGCAACACGTATTTCGCGATCTGCACGTGAAAACCCTGCTTCGAAAGTTTGGCCGCACTGAACAAGTCCTCCCTTATAGCCAGATGATTGCCTGTTGATTGGCAGCTGAAAAGGGATCTCAATTAACCTTGGTTGCTCCTGGGAAGATATGTAGGCCATCGCCACTCGGTCATAGAGTGTTTTCGAGCTGAGTATGATTGATTTGGGGGGGGGATGAATTCTACGTAGGCGGGACGGACAGCAGAAGACGGGGTTGGTTTCTCATGTGACATAAAGTTGACGATCCTTCAATAAGCTTTTGACTTTATAAACGTAGTTTGTCCTGTCCTGTTCGACAGCTGAACGTGCCAGGATAACGGGTCTTTGTTGACCCTGAGTTCCCTTAGTGCATCGTGTTCGACCTTAGGTAGCACTTCGCGTAGCCAATGAGTCATGCAGGAGGACCACAGTTTGCGTCAGCCTGGGCACAGAGCGACGACCCACGATGGGCGAATGTTTACCACCGTCGAGCCGATGGAAGCATGTTGCGCCCAAACAGAGTGCCGATAAAGCGGAGTAGGCGAATTCCAGAAAGCAGCTCAGAAGAAGGTGCGATCGCTGGGACAAGAGATTTATCAGCCTAACGTCTCGGACTCTCACTAGAACCCGTCACCAGGGACAGGCACGGAAAAGGGTAGTCGAGACAGTATTTATAGGACGCATTTGCTCGACAACCACATGCTTACAATGCTTAGCAACACTCACGTTCATTGTTGGGGATCGTATTTGTTGCGATAATTGCTTGTCTGTCCGTACCTGAGCCGTTAATTGCCGTGACTTTCTCATCGTTGTTAATTTTTTACTTGACGACTACCCGGCAGTTTGGCTTACTGTCACCGGAACTGTTGATCGTGCCAGCCCTGCCCTGGTGATTAGTTATTTGGCCCATGCAAAATCGCAGAACAGAATAAGGAGGCGGAAGGTCATTGCGCTCGTTAACTGAATGCGGGCCGGTGAAGCATGACTCAGGCAGTTCGCATCTCACGTGGTTATCGATTTCTGTGGGAATATTGGCCTCGTCAAACTAGAGTCACAATTTGAGAGCTAGCGTCATCCCATCCCACCGCTGCTGCATTTTCGGCCATTCGCGTTCGGAGTGATCCCTTGGTTCCTTTGACGAATTTGTTTTGACCACAACTGTGCCAGATCCGGTAAACGACTCCGTGCGTTGCCTGCCGTGACATTAGGTCTTAGTACCCCATG